ATATTGCTTAGATACTCTTTTTACTTTTGGCTCAGTTCGAGTTTCTGGGTGTGGGGGTTGAATTAAATTTACAATGTCCTATAAGTACAGAAAAGTTCTAGTATATAATGCAAAAACTGTCTTTGTCTTAATTTTCTATATGCTTGGTAGCATCTGGAAGATTTATATGTACATTCGTTGTTTCGTTGTTTCCTTTTGTTTAAAAAATTTAGATTTGGTTATTTGTTTAGTATATCACCTAATCGACTAATGATCAAATCCAGGGAAGAAATTTCAAGACATTGTTGGTAGCGCGTATTATGTTGCTCCAGAAGTACTGAAGCGCAGATCGGGTCCTGAATCAGATGTATGGAGCATTGGCGTTATAACATACATTCTACTCTGTGGGAGGCGCCCCTTCTGGGACAAAACTGAGGATGGCATATTTAAGGAGGTAAGGATGCTGCAATATTTGCTATCTCTTTCTGTGGAATTGAAACTCATATCAATGATATCTCGACTTTATCCACCTTTAATACAGGTGTTATATAAAAAGTCTCAAGAATCTGGTTAAGTGGAATGAAAGCTCCCTCTTATTTCATTTTACTTTTTCTACAAGCCTAGTCTTTCCCGAGCCACATCCATAGATCATATTCCTCTGAAGCTTATTTGCTTCTCTCTCTCTCTCTCTGTCTTTTTTAGTTGATTTTTTATTCCTTCTTGCTTTCTGCTTCCACAAGAGAAGATTTTTACATCGAATTATTAGTTTTTTAAGGAATATTAGTATTGTTGGCTTTACAACATTTTTCTCTAATTTATGCTTTGTTATATTTTTGACAATTATATGTGCTATATTTGTTGTTACATGGCATGTAACTGTAGAGTCTAATACTTTCAGGTTCTCAGGAATAAACCTGATTTTCGTCGTAAACCGTGGCCAAGCATAAGCAACAGTGCTAGAGACTTTGTAAAGAAATTACTGGTGAAGGATCCTCGTGCCAGACTTACAGCTGCTCAAGCATTATGTATGTACTTTTATTCTGATTTTAAAAGTTTGTGAGCTTCCTGTAATGCATTTTCATAGATAAGAAAACTTGAGAACAAAAGTTCCATTATTTATCATTGGCAGAAGACATAAAGCTGATCAATGTAGAATTGATTGGAATCAATTTTAGTGCATGCCTATCCCGTTTCACCTCCCTATCAACAAATTTATAGACCAATATCAAAAAAAATGTTTTGGCCCTTTTTTTTGTGGGGCGGGGGAGGAAGTGGGGGTTGGGATGAAGAATGTGCTGCTTCAGTTTTTTAACTTTTCAGATTCTTCTGTTGACCTTTCTTTGTGACATTTTTGAAAAACAAACACTATAGTCAACCTTTATTCATGTAAAATACTGCAACTGCAACTTATGAGAATTAGTGGCACAAAATGGGGTCTCAGTTCTGATGCTGTAGGTAGATGGTGTCACAACTTGTGTATTGTTCTTATTGCTTGCATAATCGCTAGTTAGTACAATCTACAGCTCTATTGAGCTTTATAGTCATAGCGTTGTAGTTTCATTCACTTGGATTTGGGTACCTAGAGATTGAAAGTCATACTTTAGTTTACGTAGGTCTTTTGGTATCTTATTATGGATATGTTATTGATGATTGAGCTTAGCTTGTGTTCTACTGTCGTTCTTGAATGCATTCTTGCATATGCACTTTTACACATATAAGTCGCGTATTCAGGTTATCTCCAGAAGAGAATAATGAAAAAACAAAATCAAGATTTTCAATGTTACCTTGTAAACCATCTTTTAGATGACAGGATAACAAGTAGATTCTTGTCGAATAAGCTTAAGGTAGTGCCCTGACATATGATAGTATGGGGCACAATGCAACTGTACGAGTTCTCGGTTTAATCCTATCTCATCCCAAACTCTAGATAATGGATAGCAGTCATTGAGTTTAACTTTTTGTTTATTTTGCGTGGTGCTGAAGAAATATGACGAGCACTAATAATCATTTGAACATTTTTGCACCAAATATCACAGCATAAGATTCTATTTGAGACAAACAAGTGTGCTTTTCTGAATTTTTGGCTTGGGAAAGTCAAAACTGGAAACTTTAGTGGGCATTGAGATAATCAACATTTTGTCACCAAGTACATTTGTTGTGCGTCTTTTGCACTGTAAGATAATCTACTGACCTTAACCAATTTTTCCAGCTCATCCCTGGGTTCGAGAAGGAGGTGATGCATCGGAGATACCAGTTGATATTTCTGTTCTCTCCAACATGCGGCAATTTGTAAAGTACAGTCGTCTAAAACAGTTTGCACTAAGGGTAAGTCTCTTCTTGTCTCTTTATGATTGTGTCAGAACCTATAATGACCAACTCGAAATGCACGTCTTATTATGAGGGTCTTTTATTGCTTTCCAGGCTTTGGCTAGCACACTTGATGAGGAGGAATTGGCTGATCTCCGCGATCAGTTTCATGCAATTGACGTGGACAAAAATGGATCTATAAGTCTTGAAGAAATGAGACAGGTATGTGCTTTGCAAGAGGAGGCAGAGAGGTTGTCCTTATATTTCCTTACTATTATCAGTCTGATTAGCTTTATCATAAAAGTTGCTTTAAAAGGTTCTTCCTTAGAAATTTTTATGCACTAGATTATCTTATATTTCTTTCCTCATTCATAACTTCTTCAATTTCAACACAGGCCCTTGCCAAAGATCTTCCTTGGAAAATGAAGGATTCACGTGTTCTTGAGATTCTTCAAGCAGTAAGCCTGTTGACTTTGATTTATGGTAGCGAATAGCGGAATTTATTGACGCAGAAAATTTCCATAATTTTAACTTTTCTGTTGCTAGTAAATCTACTAGTGCAAGATCCTTCCCGCATACGTATCAAACAGCTAAACAGATAAAGGATCGGGAACCAAATGGTTGATAGTTGTGGGATGGTCTCATTTTAATCTAGATAATTAAGCATACATGCATGAATAAGTATAAAACTAGCTTCAAAAGGAATGCTTTTTGTTTGCTCATTGTTGTTTTAAGAAATTTAGCCCATTAGTCCATGTTTCAGAATTTGGTGTTCTTCTACTACCACACATGCTTACTTTTGTTGTGATTGTTATTGCTCTTCTGTGATGTTGATTGATAATCCAGCTTGTTCTCATCATCTGGAGCAGGTAGATAGCAACGCTGATGGGCTTGTGGACTTCTCAGAATTTGTTGCGGCCACTTTACATGTCCATCAGCTGGAGGAGCATAATTCAGAGAAGTGGCAACAGAGATCACAGGCTGCTTTTGACAAGTTTGATGTTGACAAGGATGGATACATAACACCAGATGAACTCAAAATGGTCAGCGTTTTATGGTGTAACCTATTAAGTGACTAATGCTGTTATTCTCTCAATTGAGCATAAATCCAGAATGGAAGATTGAATCTTATGTTGCTTTGTCTGCTGCTTTCTATTACGTCTATTTGCATTTGCTGCCATATTGCCTTGGACAAAAGTAGCATGTGTTTATCCATGGTTTTAATTGCTTCCTGGAAGCAAAGTTTGAGAGCAAAACATTTCTTTTATACTTTGTTCAAGCTGCTGCGACCTTTGGTGTCAAAAACAAAGAATGTCTAACATGCTTGTATGCAAGTAAGTGGATGTCTATTTGATTTGTTGTTCGTTCGCTAACATGATATTTGTTGGCTTGCAGCACACGGGTTTACGAGGCTCTATAGACCCACTCTTAGAGGAAGCGGATATCGACAAAGACGGAAAGATAAGCTTAGCAGAATTTCGTAGACTGTTGAGAACTGCTAGTATGAGCTCACGAGTTGTCAGTAGCCCAACTGTAAATAAAGTTCCGCGGAAGTTAATAGCTTAATACAGTTTTGCATCTTTTGGTCTAATTGAGGATGTCAAAACAGTTGGATTTCATCTCACTTGTTAAAAATTGTTCGGCAAATCAATATTTTACGTGTTCGCTCTCGCTCTCATGCTTTTGGAAGGTAGTTGTTAGAGGGACGTATACAAAGTATCATTTGAAGGGCACCCCATGTAAAGCTGATTTGGCCTTCCAAAAGAAAAATCGGCTAGGTGTGAGGTGTATCTTTCCTGTACATTATATTTGTTAGCGTTATGAAGCACCGCTGCTTCCCGCATGATGTATCATATGGTGGTAAATTACTCAATAAGATATGATATGGTTGTCCATGAACTGGGTACTACTGGCATGAGGTTTGTGTATTCGAGGAAATTGTTGCCTTTTGAATCTCTAGCTCTCTCTTGATGTTCAATTTAACCTTCGAATTACATCTGTTTTACTGGTTCATAATTTTCTTCTTATCCCAGAACCCGTATAAAAGTAAATTTAAAGCAGAGGGGTTCTAAGAACTAGGATTACTGGGATAACAAATCTAAACCCCTCTTGAAATGGGAAACACTGAAGTCATTGGACCAAAAATGATTGATAGTCAAATGATTCCAAAATTCACGTACACACACACACTTATCTCTAAACTAAGTTGGAAATATGTAATTGATCTCACAATTGAATCATCCAGGAAATGACTTCTCCCAGGGTAGAAAAAGAATTAAAGAAACATTTCTGCTTGCGTGTGGTGTTCAGTGATGAAAAATCTTTATTTCGTGGTGCTATAATCATTACTTCATCGGGCATTTGATAACATAACTAAAATATATAACTAAAGCAATAAATAAGCACATTGCTGGAAATCCATTCATGTAAGATAACATAAGTCTAATATTCATGAACTAGAGTTTCTAACAAGCTTGTCTTTAGCTAAAGATGTCCAGCAAATTGCTAAGACTACAGCTTCATTTCTAGCCTCATATATTTGTATCTGAAGACTCAGCTGTGTAGGACTCGGACTAGAAGATCACTGGGGAAAGAACAGGCTACCACAACATACATATATGCAGGCTATGGGGCTCATGATATTTAACACAGTGAAATATTGATGACAGTGCTTGGGGACCTTCAGAGGAAAGAACACTTCCTCAAATAATTGGCTAGTCCCTCAGTGGTCGCTTGCCCTTGTCTCGAGGCAATGGCTGTATCATGAAAAAGCAGTTTATGTTTCAGATTAAAGATGTTTCAGGTTTTGACATTTATGCACTACCATAAAGTTGTAGATATTATGTAACACAAACCTTCTGAGCTGTAGATCCTGGAATTGCAAGCTCCAAATCAGTTACCATATCAGGAATATCACCACTTTTCTCACCATTACCACTTCTGTCTTGACCAGATGATCCATTTCTGGCAATTTCCTTGCCAAAAATGCAAGGTGTTGAAGCATTCCTGGAAGATGGCTTATTGATGTGCGGAGTTGCAGCAGCTGAACGCAGGATCATCATCACACCAGGATCAGATGGGACAGCAGATTGATTTGCCAAAAAGGGCTTTGGATGCAGAGATGGAGTATGCCTTGGATATGGACCAGAGGAGACAGATTGAGCAACTGGATATGAAAATGCACAAGCCATGACAGCTGAAGGATCAATTGCAGATCTTGGAAACATGGATCTATGTCTTTGCTGGCGTTGCACTTCAAAAGCCCCAACATCAAATTGCAGAGAAGTCTTTTCTCTTAACTCTTTGTTCTCCTTTGCAAGCTTATTCAAGAACAACACTTTAGTTGACAGCAATTTAAGGATGTTTAAATCCATGAACAACACTGTTAGAAGTCATTACCTTTTTAATATCTTGAAGAATTGCTGCTTGTTCAGACTGTAGTCTGCTGACTTCAGAAGCTAAATCTTTCAGTGCTTGGATTGGGCTGATAACGATCGTTGCCTCGTCATTCTTGAGCCTAACTGAATCTGTATCTATTTATCAACAAGACACGCTACATATGTTAAGGTATAAAAATGCTTCAAATTCTAATCTACACAGAAAGCGTACCAACCATGGGATTATTGTCCAAGGTCCACGGATGTAAAAACCATATATGAAGTCAATCTTCAATTACTCAACAATGATTTGGCCCAGTCCAAATTGAATTATCCCAATACAAATTTTTAGAATGTCCATAAAACTATGCTTAGAGGAATTCAAAGGCATGTTCAGACGTGCTAAAATGAAGAAGAAAAGTTGTACGATAATTTGATTAATCAATCAATTTAATATGCACATTTATGCTAAAGTAATGGTGCTACTGCCTGTTGACATGGTATCCTTCATCTAATCATACTCCCAAGTATTGAACTGCAAAGAAAAGGAGAACATCTGCTTCACCATGGAACAGGATATAGAAGCTCTTTATTTTGATGAATGAACATAAACACTTGCATGAGTGCTACAGTTTCAGGAAACTTTGTCCACGACGTTAGCACTTTGCAGGTTGAAAGAATAAACTTGAAACATCTTATGAGTTTAGGGAAGAAGACATGCTCTAAGGATGCAAAGTCTTCTTAAAAATGAAGGAAGAGGTTTAGAAACACTTTACCTAGTATATTTCCCAACTCTTGAAAATGCTCATTAAGCTCATTTCTTCTCAACTTTTTGCCATGTGCTTGGTGCCTTGTTTTTGCAACCACTGCACCGTTCGAATCTAAATCATCCTCTTGCCTGCAAAAATGTGAGTTGAAATATAAAGAGAATGATGAATAAATTGATTCTTGATACAAAACCTAGAAGTGACTGCAACATGTCCAGATTTAGAGCTGAAGATTTCCACATGGAAAAAGCGCAATCCAATGTGCTTTAGAAAAGACCAGTTAGAAGATAATAGGGAATGAGAGGACTAAAGTAATTTCTGCTATCTTTGCCTTGTAATGCTACTTTAAACATATCCCTTCTTCTCCTCTCCTCTATAAGGTTTTAGTTACTAGATGGTAAAGTGGTGTTGAAATTTCTGAATAAAGTAGAAGGTAAATCTCCAGCATAATTTGTCAAAGTTCTTCCATGAAAAGAGCTTCCATCAAAGCTTTTTGTTTTTGACATCTCTAGTCCTGAGTGAGCATAAGGTGCCCACATTTAACTTTGAAATGTTAAAACAAAATGAGTCCAAATCAACCTCCTAAAACATTATTGTAGGTAAAAGTAGTTTGATTGCCCAAGTAAAAAGGTTCAATAATGGAACTTAGTCTTCCATCTTAGGAGGTATACATTGACTCCATGTAAAGAAAGAAACCTTCACTTTCTGTTCATATGTCGTTGGATGGAAACAACCTGAATGTGAAGACAAATTGGTAGCAGACAGATTTTCTGAATGTTTAAATTACTAATTAAATAATACAAGGGGGATAATAAACCAGCTAAGGCCTCCAAAGTGCCGTGTTTGTTTTCAAAGAAAAGTCATTGTACTAAAATACAGCACTGGAAATTTGAATAGGGAAGACTTATCCTCAATTTCTTAACATGCAGAAGTTTGTGGAACCCGCAATCCCCAGTCCCACCACCCACACAACCCCTAACCCAAAAGAAAAGTTTTTACGTGCATAAAATTGCAGAGAAATCAGAAAAGGCTACAACATAATCTCAAGAAAGAACAAAGTTACTATTTCGTCCCCAATAGATCGACAGACATAATCAAAGTCATAACTTCTTCATTCTACATTTTACAGGATCAAGCGATCTGACTTAAATGAAATGCCCAAAAAGAAAATGATTTAAGCAAATTGATGCACACATTCAACATTAAATTTCTTAGGACATTGTGTTTAATTCTTCAAAGGATAGAATTTTATGCAACATGTTTCCCCTTCCCCAAAATTTCTCATCCACCATTACATCTGGAAATCACTTTGATACATGAATTCCTAGTATCTAGAGGATAGATATTATGCGTCCTATTCCTTTTCCCTGAAATTCTCACCCACCATTACCTCATGCAACCACCTTGATATGTGAATTCCTAGTAATGTTAACTTAGCACCTAAATGCAATTCTTCAGAGTTTGTGCAAGATTTACTAAGGTCCTCACACATACAATTCCTCATCAATTCTTTACACTGTTAAGTTGTCATGAAGCTTTTGTGAAAAAGGATGTTCTGCATACATATCGAAGGCAATAGTGAATGCACGCCTATATCACATGCATTTCTTCTCCCAAGTTCGAGTTGAAAGTTAAACAAGGAAATAATACTTATATATAACTACCAGACAAAGCATATCTATTGCAATTGCTTTCAGCATGACTTTTATGTTGTTATACGGCACAAACATGTATAACAAGAGAACCCTACTTGTTATTGAAAATTCAAGACCCAAATAATCTAGTTGTAGTAGTTATGATCAACAATGGCAGAATAAATACTTAAACCAGAGGGAGATAGTCTCAAATCCAAATAGTAAGGGTATATGAAAAATTTCCAAATATTTCAGATTATTTACTTTCATATGAGATAGAGGGAAAAGAAAACACAAAAAGAAAGCAGTACAAAACTAAATAATTACTTGCTACCAGATTAAAGTGATAAGGGAGAAAAATCAGGGGGATTGTTAAAAATGCAAAACATACTGAAAATGTCCAAAAGAATGTATCAAAGGCATCGTTTTCATCAGTACGCACACCGTTATTTCTTTCACATCATATATTGTTGCTAGCACAAATAAATTAGTCACTATATCACAAGCCTCCTGTTACTAAGAATAACTATACATATGAAAGAGCCATCAAACCTTCTTTTAGAGCCAGAGCTATATGGTCCAACACCAAGCCTCAGTTCTGCCAAGGCTCTTTTCTCTTCATTTCGAGAAGCATGGTCAAAACTTCTGTACAGTCCAATACCAAGCCTGAGTTCCGAAATGGCTCTTTTCACTTCATTTTGAGAAGACTGGTCAGAACTCTTAAGTATTGGATTGAGACTAATAGGTTCAAACACTTCCTTAAATATTTTCTCTCGATCCATTTGATGATATGAAAGCACGGTGTGAAGGCAAAGAAGATTCAGATGAATAAGGAGGCATTTGCTAGTAAAACACTTGGAAATCAATTTATTTCAACATCTTGATATGAATAACATGATCGAGGTATATAGTGATTTTGGAGTACCAAAAGGTTTACCACAATCCACTGCAAGAGTAAATGAAAGCCAGGTTCCAATAGTTTCCTTTGTCGCTACACCATCCTAGGCAACCTTCTCTTTGGAAAAGTCAACGCTAGTAAATACTCAATCTTTAAGTGCAATTGTCGTTCGTGATCAGTAACTTCCCGAAAACATGAGTTGGGAAGAAAATATTAATGAGGTGGTTACACAAGGAATCACTTTAAGATCTTTCCCTAGATAGGTATCACTTTAAGAGTTGATATTACATAAAAAATTATCAATGAATCGCAACTGCAACTCACATTAATACAAAACACAATGAGAAAACAAAGTCAGAATTTCATTTGCCATCACGTATATTTGTTCGTAAGCTGCAAAAACTGTTACTACTTCATGAGCTACTTGACAGACAGATTGCAACCCAATCACTGTCAGTCCAGTACCTAGCATGATTTGGTATCTATTATGAGAATACACAATCACAGGTAAAAGATCTTGTATCACTTCCACTGATCAAGATCTTATCTTAAGTCAACTTTTGCTCTATGATTTCCTAGAGGCAATTCTGTGAGGTACTTCAAAACACTAAGTTTAGAATCAAACTAATTTCTTAAATAATTGCCAAAATCCCAGTCATCCAGCCTAGTAGTATTCTGATAAGAAAAAAAAGAAAATCACAAGATCCTATTCTGATAAGAAAAAAAAGAAAATCACAAGATCCCCTTCGAATACCTCAACACGGTGATTCATCAAAAATAACAATCTCAACGATATATAACTTACATAAAAAATGCATCCGTATATGTGATCTTCTTGAGTCAATGGAAACTACATTTTACAGGCGTATTGTATTCATAGACACGATAAAGGTATATCAATAAATCAGTGAAAAAGTTTTACCACTAAGTACACATTTATGCTCGAGTGTGCTCGATTCTTTCTAATGTAGCATGCAGAGTGATTGAAGAATTATTACTACTACTACTACTAATGGGGATAGGCAGTCAGGAGCTCAACCCCTAACCTCCTGCATTGTGGAGCAGGCATCCGACCACTTGGCTACCAGCTGAATGGCATGCGGATGATTGAACCTTAACATCGCATGAAAAAATTTATGGAATCATCCTTCATCAGAAATACTATCAGTTTAAAGTACTAGGAATGAAAAAAATTTATGGATCATCCTTCATCAGAAATACGCTATCAGTTTAAAGTACAATTATTAACTACAATTTTCTACTTCATGACTGCCTATGCACACTTATTTTCCTTTTCTTACTAGCACATAATTGCAGAACTTAAATACAGGATAGCATCGGTTGAAAGTGGAATTTTTATTAACAAAATCTTAGGGACATCATCCAACTAGCTGACATGGCCAACTCAAGATTTTGGCAAGATGTAATAGGATGTTTCCATTACAGCGAGAGATGATCTCTATACCAGGGATGTGATTTTGCTGCCTGAGCTGGATTATACATTCTAACCATGTCTTCTCTGGCGTGCTTATTTGACCAAAATCCTAACTTTTAACTCGATCACTACGATACAGTTTCTGAGATTCCCACTCTTCACTCATGATGCAACTTGATAACACTCAATTATACAACTTAGACATAGCAGGAGAAGCAGCACCATACACACTATCCAGCATTTGGCATCTCAATACCAATTCATTTACAAGAAGGTCACTACTTAAATGTTGATGATGGTAAAATGTGTGCTCCATTGTGGAAATCTCTTTTCTAGCATAGAGCTCTTCTCAAGTTGACAAACTGTTCGACTAAGAATGAACAACCCCTTTTTATCCTGGGTCAGTCCGCAATATCTACACTACTCCTAAGCTAAGGAGAGGGCTCAACTGGGCCAAGGTGGGCTAAGTGAGCAACTTGCATTCCAGTAATTTAGGCAGTTGTCAAAAATACAGAAACAAGGGGGAAAAAAAAGTGCAATAAATCTTTCTATTATCGCGAGATTATTGCAAGTAGTCCAGAAAGGGAACGCTTCCTCAGAAACTATCCCATAATACCCATCTAATTCTGTATCCATGAAGAAATGGTGTAAACAGAAGACGCCGAAGAAGTATACAAGTAACTAAGCAAAAGTTGGAGCATGCAGCTTGTACCACAAGCCAATAACAAAACAAGAATTCGATAAGCATAAAAACTATAGTTAATTCAAGCCCAGATATACTGACAACGATTACTTGTACAAAAAGGAGGATAACAACAAACCTGGAATCGCTAATGTCAGATTGACAATCAACCATCCAAGTTAAAGCTGTAATATTTAGTTTTCAGAGTGGAAATAGCAGAGAATTAGTGAGGCATTTTTTACAAGATAAAGGAAACTTTCAAGAAGGTTTCTCAAGAGGATTAAGATTGTCAGGAGGGTTACTTTGTATTCGTGGTTGATCGTGAATTTGACGTAGATTTTTGGGATTCTTGAATCCAGTAGTAGAGTTCCCTGGAATGGGAAGCTGGCATTTTTTGGGGCATCAGCAGCATTCAACAATGGACTCGTGCAAGTGGAAAGAGCATGTCGTATCTGCTGATCTGGCTCTCCATTGACGAAATTTCGGGTCGACCAATAGTACCATCCCAGGAGTTCATAGCCAAACACAGACCAATTCCATTTTTTTCCCACACGATGATATTCTTAATATTAATTATTTTTTAGGCAATAACTTCTATTAATTTATCCTACCAAAGAAACTGAACTCTTGATTTTTTTTTATTTTTACTTGGAAAAAATTAAAATTTAGATTTTGCTGGAATTTTACTACTTGTTTCTCCCTTGAATTAAAAAAAAAAACTTTTTCCTAACTTTTTTTTTAAAGTACAACACTAGTCCTATACGAAGAGTATAGGGAGGGAATGGGGATAAACCCAACAAAATTATTGAGAATTCAGAAGAAAGTAAAGTACGTCCATTTTCAATAATTCTAAAGAAGAAATATAGGCAAGGAATTTTGAATTCCATACATACTAATACTCATACAGAGTAATTTTTAGATGGGATGAACACAGCTAATTCCTTCAAGGGCACATAAAAAATGGTGTGTACACAAGTAGCCTCGGTCAGGGATCCAGCCGCACTGCTCCTAAAAGCTTAAGCTGTTAGGGCCAGCTTCCCCCTAACTTAAGTACCGTAGCCACTCCTAGCCAACCTTCGATGTGGGACTACCAAGATTTGTAAAATCGGGATCCTACGTAGGATCGATTTTAATTTCACAGAATCGGATTGTAGGATCGTAAGATCTCACCAAAAGTTTCTAAATTTACTAAATTAATGAATTTCAGATTCATATACCATTTTGTATATTTTAAAAGATATCAAATAAATAAGTTACTCATAAATATATAGTATTTTTTACTTACTATCTGATAAGTAATAAATATATAGCATTTTTCTTTTCACAGTTATAGCCATTGCAAAGTAATACTATGAGAAAAGCCAGACTAAATGTTGATTTGAGCTGAAAATTTAGAAGAAATTAGATTTTTCAAACTTGTTAACAAAAAGTTCAAAAGCATACGTCCACACGGCAGCCCATCTTTCTGGTCCAAATAGGAAAATCTGGGCAATTAATGCACCTTTCTAGCTTAAGAACAAAAATAAAGGCCAAGAAATCATAAGTTCGAGTGACACCCAATATTTTTCGGCTGAAGGAATGTGCTTTAAGGAATGAACTTCTTGGACACAAAGTCACCTTACAACCTTGTCTAAGAAGAAGAAAAAGTTATCTGCCGAAATAAAGTTTTCAAGATATCAGAAACTCAATCTTGCATGAAATGCTTAGCTATTGCAATCAATAGCAAGCAAACAATAATCTATGTGAGTTGAAGCACTCTTGTAACAATGAAGGTTGGTTGGTTGGAGCTGCAGCGGTGGAGAAGAAGTGAAAACTGAAAAATGAAGGTTGAAATGAAGAATGAAGAAACGAGTCAACGACAGATGACTGAGTAGAGGAGAAGAATAGGAGCTTTTTTGACTTTTTGAGAAAAAAATTGTTACAAAATTACAATTCTTTGATAAATTACAAACCTACCACAAATTTTTTCATTTACTTGCAAAATGGAGTCTCGTATTTCACAAATTTGCAAAAAATTATAGGATCGTACGATCCTATGTAGATTAATACAATTTGCGACTCTGAATATGATTCGGATCGATTTTGATTATCCGGCGATCCGGATCGCAATTTTGACAACACTGGGGACTACTTTTTCCCCTTCTTGGTGCATCTTGCATTGGGTACTATTTCACCCCCACCGAAGGTCTGGCTCTAATACCACAAGTAGCCTCGACCAAGGATCCAACTGCACTGCTCCTAAAAGCTTAAGCTGTTAGGGCCAGCCTCCCCCTGACTTAAGTACCATGACCACTCATAATCAACCTACCTCTTATTAAACCTTTGTTAAGATTTTTGAACTTTACCCTAGAAAATGAATAATTGACCCTCTAAAAACAAAACCTCCACCCTCTAAAAAAGAAAAAGAAAGAATGGTTAATTTGCCTACTTTACAAGAGAATCAATCTTAAATCAAGTTAACTTGAAAATAAATTTTAAAGTTAATCTCATACATTGACAATACATACACGTTAACGAGTATGAATGCATATCACTTATTCATTGGTTTTTGATTAATAAAATTAGGAGCCAGCTTCCTCGTGCACGAGGTTTACGGCTAAAAAAATATATACTTATAAAAGTCACTTATTCATAAATGGAAATTGAATTATCGGCCGGTCAATGTTTACCATGTGAGTTTTATCTCAAATTTTTTATCCTAGATTCCGAGTAGAAATTTCAATAGCAAACGGCGTCGTTGGGAGTTGCCGTTTGACGGTTCCCCTTGCTAGCATTTCCTAGGGACAGCGCTGTCGTTTTGGTTTTCTGCGCTATTCTCTGTGTCACTTCCCTCCATATTTTCTGCAGCAGCTATCGAACCAGCAGAAATCCTCCGCCATGGAAACTACAAAATTCGAGGGCTGTTGAGCGCCATAAATTGTAGTAGAAAGGAAGTTCTGGTAAAAGAAAAAATATATAATGAAGATAGTGACGTACAACATAAACGGCTTAAGGCCTCGCATCTCCCAGTTCGGCTCCCTGCGTAAGCTTCTCGATTCCCTCGACGCCGATATCATCTGTTTTCAGGAGACCAAGATCTCCAAACAAGAACTAAGAGCCGATTTAGTTAGAGCTGATGGTTATGAATCTTTCTTTTCTTGCAATCGCAACTTCGACAAATCCCGCGCTGGTTATTCTGGTACTGACCCCACGTTTTCCTATAGTGTGTTCACTGGTACTAAATTCGGAAGTCCAGAATAAAAGAGATGAAGATTTTAGACATGGGATTTTGTGAAAGTTTTTATCTTTATGCTGAATATTGGAAATTCAATGGTTTCTTATTTTAGCAATTGCGCCATTTAATTTGCTTGTGAGTTTTTCTTTTGCTATGCACAGGTGTTGCGACATTTTGTCGAGTGAAGTCTGCATTTTCGAGTGACGAGGTGGCGTTGCCAGTTGCTGCAGAGGAGGGCTTTACTGGGCTTCTTGAGAGTCCTCGAGTAACCGGACCTCAAAAAGATGAATGCTCTTCAGCTTTAGAAGGGCTTGAGGAGTTCTCTAGAGATGAGCTTTTGAAAGTTGACAGTGAGGGGCGATGTGTCATCACTGATCATAGCCATTTTGGTAAACTAGCAAGCTTTTGTTACTGGCTAAAAAAAAAAAAATATCTGTATTGCCCCAGTGGCTTAAGGTTGTTTGATGTGTGGAGCTCTTTCCTATTTAGTATCTATGTTTATTTTGTCTGGCTTTCTCTGAATTGACTAAAAAATTCAGGAGTATATGAATATTCGAAAAATGATAATATTGTTGAAGTACGGCTTGATAACTGGATTTTGCAGTTCTTTTCAATGTGTATGGGCCTCGAGCTGATTGTGATGATACAGAAAGAATTCAATTTAAGGGCATATTTTTTAAGATAATACAGGTATTTTTTAAAACTTTTTTCCTTCTCCATTAGAATGAATGATTCAACAAAGTATTAAATTTCTGAAGCTAGATCTATTTTTCATTGATAGTTTAGATGTAAAGGCAAAGGCATTTTGGGGGAAATGCTCTTTTACGGTTATGCAACACATTTTTAGCTGTACAATGAGATTGTATGAGCCTAGTATTTCAGGGGAAAAAAAGGTGACATGTTAATATTCCCATGCTTCATGCTTTACTCTCTTGGAGTCACACTGGGTGTTCAGGCTAATTGCTTTTTGCATACATATTCGAGCTGGTTGTGCACTACGGAAATCATTGAAAGTTCAAATTCTTCTTCTTATGTTCAAGATTTATAAACTCTCTGAAGTTGGAAACTATGCTGTTGACTTGGTTACCATACCATGTGATTTCTAAAAGGGAATCGGGGAAGGTAGTTCTGGATCTGGCATGTTGTTATGTATCTATCTGCTGTTGTTTGGTTAAGTTCTAGGATTTTGCCCTTTTGCATTGGAATTCCTGGTCTCATGAGATGCAATGTTTTGTGAAATAGAATGTTGGGTCACTGGAAAAGAAGCACAGCAAATTAACTGGGTGTTAACAATGAAATGTATTAGAACTGTTTCAGTCAATATCTTTGGAGATTTGGCTTGGCTTTTTCCTTAGCCAATACTTTTGAAGTTAAACTCTATGTTGGTTATGACATTGATTGTGAAATCTCTGGCGTGTTTAACTAAAAGTATAGATGCTCATTGAAATCGAGGATTTGGTGAGATATGTCACCCAGAGTATTCCTCCAATTCCACCCAACTTCCTACCTCTGCAGCGGCAACCATTTAAGATTTCCTTCTTGTGTCTAAGAAGGTTATAGATAATGTCTTTGATGGATTATAGTATGACTAACTTGTGGTGATAGGAATTATTACTGTTAGATGTGTAAGCTTCAAACTCTTTGATTCATGTTAGCAATTTCCTTTTAGAGAAGATGGGAATGTCTTCTACATCAAGGACGGCGAGTATTTGTTGTTGGGGACCTCAACATTGCTCCTACTGCGATTGATCGTTGTGATGCTGGACCAGATTTTGAGAATAATGAGTAAGCAATTCTTTAGTTCTCAACTTACTTGTAGGTTTTGCCATCACAATGTACTTTTTTGAGTTAATGTGTATTTTCATTGATTGCAATTTTTTTCTCACAGGTTTCGGAGGTGGTTTAGATCTTTGTTGGTGGAAAATGAAGGACAATTTGTCGATGTTTTCAGAACAAAGCATCCTGACAGGTTCATTTTGTTGATTCCTTTAGTTTTTTTTTGTTCTTTCCTCTTGAAGAAATGTGTTTGAAATGATGAAGATTTTCATTCTTTGGGAATTATACGTATGAGATGATTTTGGTCTTCAAAAAATGTTCTTAAGAATTTATGAATGTAGATGTTCTCAAAGTGATATTTGTGTTTGAAATGATGAAGATTTTCATTCTTTGGGAATTGTATACGTATGAGATGATTTTGTCTTCAAAAAATTATTCTTAAGAATTTATGACTGTAGATGTTCTCCAAGTGATATACTGTCAGTCAAGTTATTTATTAAGTTTAACTGTCTAGGGTATAATTTCAATTCTATGATTCTCTGATTACTCATTATACTTTCCAAGTGAGTTTTATTCTTTTTGTTTTTTCGTGGATTTTGATTTCAAATCACTGTGCAGAAGAGAAGCCTACACATGCTGGCCAACAAATACAGGTGCTGAGGAGTTTAACTTCGGGGCAAGGATTGACCATATTCTTATTTCTGGATCATGCTTACATGAAGAGTCAGGTCAGGAAGAGCATAACTTTGTAAGTTGCCATGTTGAGGACTGTGAGATTTTGATCCAATTCAAGCGGTGGAAACCTGGAAACACACCCAGGTACTATTGATTTTCTTGGATTTAAGTGGATGAAGAAATTATAATTATTGTCATGGAAATTTGTAAATTACCTTTTCAAGAAGTGTAGTTAGTTTGGCTGTACAAGCATAAATTATCGTTAGGCATGCTTATGTGTCTCAATTATTTTGCATTATTGTCCGGATTCAATATGTAAAATTGTTCTCATCTCTATTGGTAGGTGGAAAGGAGGAAGAAGCATTAAATTGGAAGGTTCGGACCATGTTCCTGTCTGTGTGAGTTTGGAAGAAATCCCTAGTGTTCCACCACATGGTGCTCCTTCATTATCTACTAGATACTGCCCCCAGGTCTACGGATGTCAGCAAACACTAGGTATGAGTTTCCTATTGTACACAGGAATTGCTTATCTGGATGTCACGAGATTGGTTTCACTTCTGGAAATCCATTTACCATGTCTTTTTTTTGTTTTTTTTGTCACTATCTAGTAGTCTTCCATTTCCATAAGCAATATGTTTTAATGATTATACTAAGGTTTTTTTTTTTCTAGTTTGAATTTTAAACTGAAGATTATTGATGTTGCATTACCATTAGTGAGAAAACTTTTGAATTTTGAACTGAAGATTGTAGATGTAGCATTACTGTGGGTGAGCTAATGCTGTGCTGGGATATTATACTGCAGTGTCGATGTTAACAAGGAAACAATCGGCTGAGAGTTTTAAGAATTCTGAAGAGTCAAGCTCATTTTTAGGTACATCAGATGGACCAACTTTATACATTCTTTGTGGGATATTATTCTGATGCACCATTTTTCTTGATATATGACTGTTAAACTTTAGTACAGAAGCTCATGACTGCTCTGAAGGCTCAGCACGTCAGCGTTCCTGTAGCACAACTTTTTGTTTGGGTAGCAATCTTGCAAAAGCAGGGCCTCACGTGGAAACCAGGAAGAAAGCAAGACAAAGTCAGTGGTCTCAGCTCTCACTCAAATCATTCTTCCAGAAAAGTTCCAGTCACAGTGAGACTTTTGCGAGATCCACCAATGACATCAAGCTTAGTAGGACAGATGTCTCTGCTTCTTTCTGTTGTTCCAACAGCTCCCCAGTACACGTTGAAGTGAGTAGCAACCCAAAGGATTGCATAGCAGATGTCTCTGCATCCAGTCCAGCAGACAATGGGTGTGATACAATAGCAGACTGCCAACTTTCAGTAAAAGAAAAGTCTAATGTTGCCTTATTGGAGTGGCAAAGGATACAACAGCATATGCAGAACAGTATACCTCTTTGCAAGGGCCATAATGAACCTTGCGTTGCTCGAGTTGTGAAGAAAGCTGGCCCTAACTTGGGCCGCAGATTTTATGTCTGCGCTCGCGCTGAGGTATAGAAAGTTGGTTCTTAGTCTGTCTTGAGCTTGCAGTTTGTACACTTATTCATCGTCTCAAAGAATTTTGCTGCTGCTAAATTACGAAGATAAGAATTCCCTTGTCAAATTAAATAAAGAAAGAAAATTTGCTCCTTGTTGATAGTTTTATGCATTTGATGTTGATATGGCATTCGAAATTATTATAATGGATTGAGCAATGCTAGAGAAATTCTCCACTTGATTCATCTGTCTGTATAACAGACTTCTAGATCTTCTAAATTCCCAATTTTAGGAACAATCTTAGATTTATCATTGTTGTCATTGCCTCTAGTTTTTCAATTTCATGTTCTTTTAGATTTTTAGGCTTAATTTCACTGCTGGAGATTTTAGCTGTTCTCACCTTGCCTATTGTCTATGCTGAAAATAGAAGGAAGTATATGGCTCTCTCTCTCTTTCAATCACACGCTTTCTCGGTTTCCAGTTTCTTGATTGGGCTACACAGGTTCACGTAGATTAATATTTTTGTCGTGGAGAAATTGTGCTGAAAAGTGAGAGTCTATGTGATCCTTTTGGTTTAACTTATTACCAAGAATATGTCATTTCCCTTCTTTCAAAATGCTGCTTTATTCATTCAGGGGCCTGCATCTAATCCTGAAGCAAACTGTGGGTATTTTAAGTGGGCTGCTTCAAATTCCAAGCACAAACGGTGATGTTGACTGAACTCGTGGTCAGGCTGTGTCGAGAATGAAACCGTCTTAACATTTGCTTATTCTTCACTGCCTTACTGATGAAGTTCCAAGTATCAGGTACGATTCAAGTGATATTGATTTAGATTTCAAATTCAACATGTTTCTGGCATGCTTAATGTCTCTGAACTTCTACTCTGAACTTTAAATTACAGGATTCTGCTTCCCTGTAGGATCTTGTACCATCATCTTTTTGAGAGAAAAATCAACTTAGAATTTGTCCTCTTCCATACCGGATCAAGATTTCATGTTGGTTTATTTATTAGTGAAGATTGAAGTTTTAGAGTTCTTGAATTCAAATCTTACCAGATTGTATATAGTATTTGTGTTATGCTACCAAGTGATGGGGAACTGGAGATTCAATTGAATCTCTTCTATTGGTTCCATAAATATGAATCTAGACGTTTTTGGTACTCTAATCTGTTGTTCTCAGAAAAGGGGAAAAGGAGAAGAATAGAGCTGCTTCACGTTCTTAGTAACGAAATAAGTAGACAGAGAGAACTGTAGAGTGTAATCACATAAAAAGCCATAATAATGTTTACATAATAATAATGTGAACTGGGGCAATTATTATTATTATTATTTTTTTGTGCTGCACTGTCAATATGAAAAACACAATCGATATTGGATATATGTCATGCAATCTAATTTCAAATCTAAAATTCAATTATTACACACATTTATCTATAACTATTAGTAAAACTTGACGGTGTATAAAAAATTAATCCAATAGCGATGATATTACATTAGTGCATGTTGACATTAGCGTATATCAAACATAATCCTCCGAGGATGATGTAGCCGTCCATCACAAGATTGCTTAAACGAATCAATGAACCTGTCTTCTTGTCGTGGAATACAATAAAATGTCTCCATCAAGATTGCATTAGATTGCTAGTCCATTACGATCGGTACGCATAATTAAAAAGAGCTGCAGCCGGACAGGGCTAAAATTTGAGTAGCAATCAATCCGGTCAGATTCACCAGAGAAAAAGCAAAACAATAAATGATTTTACCAAAAATAAGTGTCTGTGCAGCACGTTGGTGTATACTACTACACCAAATTTGTAGTTGTGGATGCAAATTTGGAAACGTTAACTTCTCTAATTTCATATTGTCTTCTACAGACAATTTCATCCCAAGTTAAATCAAATCACTACCATGTTTAAGATAGACCCCCTCCCCTACATTCTGCCAAATTTGATGTTGCAGTGTACTGAACTTCTCTAAAACTGAGTGCGCTACAGCTAAGATAAAAGATCGTAGATCAAACAGGGCACGATCTTTTTACTCTTGGAGGTACACACCACATCACATCTAAAGCGTCTCTTGGAGTTGGAGGCTATTTCTTCTGTCTCCAGCTTCTTCTCGTCAATTTCTTCCAGATAGATTCACGCGCACTTTAATTACACCCTTGATGAAGGAGGGATTCGTCACTAATTAATTCGACTCCATCTACTTTACATGAATCGTTCAATTCATGAGAGGCGCTCGCTTTTCTTTCTCTTCGATTTTCTGTTTTTCTGGCATAAATGGTGTAATAGTACGGACAGGTTTCGGATGGGTCCTTCGCTTTCTTTGTAGCCACAATTATGGATACATATATACATATATATAACGACATGATTGGCATGGTAATACATGTATTTAGGGGACAATGATGTGTAGTCTAATTGACAGTAGGTGGCTTTGAGTCATTAAAGAGATAAGTCGAAAATCACTGTTCATCATCTTTTTAAAAAAAAGAAAGAAAAAAGGAAAAAAATTATGCCATGACTTAGTAGTCCTTGTATACTTGTATCATAAATTTTGGAGGGTCAATCAACTGATTGGAAGCCCGCGTTGGGTTGGTCTGCTGGTGGAAGTAGCCTCCTTAGGTAAGTTTCACCTGGATTCGATTCCGGGCAACAACTCAGTTATTATCTTCTTCAGCATCGGTCGGGCCCGCTCTACTGGAGCGCTGTGGGATTAGTCGGGTGTAGACCCGGATACCCACAGTGATGACAAAAAAAAATAATAATAAAAAAAAATCAACTGATTGGAATAATCAACAAGTAACGCATAAGAAATGGACAATTGCAAGTGTGCTAGTACGACGATTTGACTTTCCTGGGATTAACGCTGTTGTAAATGCATGCCAATGTATTTATCTAGTGGCAGAAAATATTTTGGATGGGTGAAAGTACCCGTGACAAAACATACATGTTATTAAATACAAATGGTATAGTGGAAATCCAGTGCACATAGATTTTCCGCTATACCTTATTAAAAAAAAAAAAAGAGAGAGAGAGAAAGAAAGAAAGAAAGGCAAAATACATATAATTTGCATGGTATGGCGTGTATTGAGCTGCCAGCGGATCTCGGCTGCTGTCAATATCATTTGTTGGAGGGTCAAGTTGGGCAAGTGTCCAATAGGCTTTACCCGTGTTCTGGTTTTCCACGGCACATTTTACGACCGGCATCTCTGATTACAAACATCGTTACCTTTCAAACAATGGATAAGCGGACAAATGGTGACAACCGCTTGATGCTGATGTCCACCTTAAATTCAACTTTTTTAGCTGTCGCCTTAGACAAGCTAATTAATTATCCAAAAATCAATTGGCCGGAATTGGTGCAATTATTTACTTCTTTTTTTTCTGTAACGATAATATTTATATAATCTAATCTTTTCTATTCTATGAGAATGAGCCTGTTCTACAGAGAGAGGAGTCTAAAAAAACTGTGTAAAAGCCGTGACCTATTCTATAGGGAGGGGAGTCTAAAGAGACTGTGTAAGGGACTAACAAGTATATAGACCTGACTAAATTAAAGAGGTGATCTGACATCTCTTTTGAATTTTTTTCATTACAGGTAAAATTTAAATTTCGAACCTACTGTCCAAAGAGAAACTTAATCCCCTTTTTTAAGCTCAGTGGTTGTAGCAATTATTTACTGGGGTAGTGGTGTTTGGGAGGGATCCAAGAGCCAAAGGGAAAATCGTGCACTTGATAAGGATGTACTACCTTTGTGGGATGGCAAATTTGCAAGAAGAAGACTATTTCTTTTTCTTCCACCCACTAGGGGGTAAAGAATCCTGGATAAGAAAGTGCAGGGAGAGTGAAATGTCCTACGTTGACACTTTATGAATCTTTAATTTTTTTTATATAAAATTTTGGATCACTTTCTTCATTATTAATTATTTTAAAATAGAAGTTCAAATTATTTATCATAACATCAGAATTTCGTGATTGTTTCAACTTGTATGCATGGTACCGTTATTGTGGTTCACGACTATTACGCTAAATCAGTCTTTTGTGTATTCTCTATTTTGTGAGGTAAAAGAAGCGGCGGCTAATTTGTTTGCGAGCTAATATTTTGGTCTTCTACTTATTCAAAGAAACAGATTTTTTAGATTTACCTGGTAAACCATTCTAGATAGCATGGAACTTTACTATGTTAGTACATTTGGATAGGAAATTATTTTTATAAAAAAAATTATTCAGAATAAAACTTTATGATGCAAGCGAGGAACTTTTTATTGTGTAACATATGTGAAATTTTTTAAAAAAAATAGAAAACGTGTTTATGATGCAAGTAATATAATATTTGTACTTTCAAGACTCTGTACCTATTATTTTGTTTTTGCATTTTTTGAAATGAAAGCTATTGGTTTATTTATTTATTTTTTTAAAATTTTGTTGGAATGCAAGATTAAATTCTAGGCAGGCTAGGCTCTCTCCAAAACCACGATCTCTCAGCCCACAAAACTAATGTGATCCCATTTAGAAACCGTCAAAATATAAGCATCGATAGCAGTTACTGGTGTCAATGAAACCAAAAAACTGTTATGCAACAAACAACTTATTATTATTGTTGTCAAAAAAAAAAAAAGAAAACTGGTTATCATCACTAAATTCAAATTCCAACCCAAAATTTTGTTTTAAGTAAAAAGGACATCAGACCAAACTTTGGACTATGCTAAATACCATTATTTCACTGCCTCTAATTTTCCTTTAAAAAAAGAGTTTAAAAACTAGTGCTTGATTTAGGTCCGCTGCAGGATTTAGATACTGCTATTATAGTACTCCTAGAAATTCAAATGTTTTGTCACCGCATACATATTTACTAGGATAATACTATTAATTGATCGTATATATTTCCAAGTAAAATATTTTTTTAATTCAAAGATTCGGTCAAGTTTTCGTCCTCATTATTAATTTCTACACACAAGTTGAAAAAATATGTTATATGCACCCTTTAAATCAATAAATAACGGAATTAGTAATCAATCTATGGCCTCGTTTTTGTTTGCGATGTGTTTATAGAAAATATGCTTTGAAGTACTAAAAATATTTCTAGGGTTTTTGATAATTAATTTCTTGTAAATTAAGTAGCATAATTGTGATAATTTAAGAGCACTCTTCTTAAAATTACTTGTATCATAAGTGCTTCTTCATTAATCACCGCAGCCAAGACGGGGCTATATATTTGAGAATTTATTTTTGAAATAACCTTTTTTAGGAAAATATTCCCAGTATGATGCTCTTTTGTAAATTATTACCATTTTAATCTTTTTTATGCCATGTAAGCTCCCATTTTAAATGCAAGAAGACCTTACTTAAATGAACCTTCTCATGCGGTAATCTTACTCAATTCATACTCAAAATTCAAACGCCAAAAATCCAAATCCAAAGCAAAAAAGAAAGGGGCAACAAACATAAGATTCCACCTTTGATTAATGGACAAGATATTATAATTAAGAAGTATTTTATATTTTAAACTCTTCAATCATCCAAGTTCATTTATATTAAACCACTAGGATTCGATTTTTTATATTAAACTCTATTCTCTTTTCATTTTTTAAATCTCATCTTTCCCTTACTAATTTTTTTTTTAAAAAAAATGTTACTCATAAAAAATGAAAAAGGAATGCTATAATCATTTTATAATATTTTAGCATTAATCAAATCTAGAGCCTTTTCCTATGTTTATTGCCTAGTCTTTTTTTATTATCCTTGAATTTTGCTTTTTGCCTTAGCATTTCGAGTGTGAATGTGGAAATCAATAATCACAAGGTAGAAAAAAATGAACAGTATTACAACAAAGGATAATTTCAAAACCTTCTTCCAAGATTTCAGATAATCTCATGTTACACACCTCTATATTCAAATATTATACTTACTGCGCTTTTTTAAGTACTCAAAATGATTATAATAATCTTCCCAAAAGTAATAAAATGCTTTTTAGACTTTAAAAACATATCACCAGGAATCTGTCCATCACCAAATACTCTATATCACTACTATGCTATTTCTTTCAAATAGGTTCAATCCACCTTTTTCCCCCTATTCAAGTTTTCTTGTCCTTTTTTATAATCTAAGTCTCTACGTCTCACAATTTCCATTGTTAATAATACTTTCTAATTGACTTGTATCTCACTCTTTTCATTTGTTATAATTTTTTTCTCCGACCAAAGTTTAATAAACAGTTGCAAACACAAATATATGATTGTAAATTTGGCCGAAGAAAAATTGGAGGAAATGATTTAGGGCTGAGGCGAGACTATTTAGGACTAGGCGAAAAGCAAAAATATATTCATTGAATAATATGATTTAAATATAAAAAATCCTTAAGGGAAATTTGAGGTATTAATATGAATTTTTTCCCTTATACCAGCCACATAAAAAGGAAAGGTATGCATAATTTTTTAGAGGTAAAGGAGTCTAAATGTAATTGTCATAAATTTTAGGAGAGGTTTGTGAAATTATCCCTTAGAACAAGGAGTAGATTTGTTGATAGTATAAAGTCTCCCAATGTTTAAGATGGAAGTTTACTGCATAAAAGATAATATAATTTGTGAAAGAGCGTCACTTGAAATATTTTTTGGTTACTTTGGAAATAAACTCATATATTTCGATCACTTTATTTTAATGGATTTTATATATCGATCACGACAAAAAACATGGATAAACATGGATCACAGCGTCCTTAAAAGATGGAGAAAAGCGAGTGAACGGAGCCGACGCATCAATCAATCATGTTGACTCTCAACCGGGGCCCGCTCCGACACCTTATCCGTTCGGCCTTCGGTCCTTCATAAAAACGTCCATAGGATAAAACCCAGCTTGCTGAGTGCTGACTCACCTATTTAACCGGATAAACATTCCTACGATATTCAGAGTCAGCAATCAGAAACTACAAAAAATCCTCGGTAATTTTTCACTGCTCGTTTCTCCAGACCATATTCACTGTTGCCACAGTAAAATTTACCCCCGCGTCTATAAATACACCTCCCAAGACTTCTCCACTCCACACTCTTAACGAACAACAGCACCGTCAATTCATCATGTCGTTGTTATCTTCGCCTTCGCGTTCCGTCTTCCAGTTTCCGCAGAAATTCTCCGGCGAAGCTTTTCTCCCGCCGACGTCCAACTCCAGTTTCCGGCAGCCACGTGCAGGTGTTGTTTCCGCAGCTTTCGCTTCTTATGCTACTGCGGAGAGCGAGCGAACCACTTCCACTTGTGTGTTGCCGCCCAGGTTAACAGCTCCGACGTCGTTTTACGAGGTTTTGGGGATTCCGATGGGAGCCACTAGTGGTGAGATCAAGGCGGCGTATCGGAGACTAGCGAAAGGGTGCCATCCAGACCTGGCGGGGACTGATGAGAAGAGCTCGTCTGCGGATGAGTTCATCAAGGTTCATGCTGCTTACTCCACTTTATCTGATCCGGAAAAACGTGCTGATTACGACCGGCGACTGTTCCGCAGTCACCGCGGCGTCCGGTTCTATTCCACGCCGTCTCCGACGAAGTCGAGGTATTCCGGTTACAGTGGCCGGAACTGGGAGACTGATCAGTGCTGGTAGAGATCGGGAGATAATTGATAGATTAACATACAGAGTTCAGAAAATTTTGAACTAATCCCCAAAAAAAAAATTTTAAAAATATGTAGAGATAATGAGTAGACAGTGGAATCTCTCTCTCTCTCTCTTTTTTTTTTAACTTGTATATATGGAATCCGAAGAAACCCAAATGTAAGAGGTAACTGGGGTACGCGGTGTGAATGATTAACAAAATAACATGTAGATTGTGACTTATGGCATAATTTTTGGCCTCAATATTATGTACTTGGACTTATTTTGTGATACTTCCATTTGGCTCTGCAAAGCTTCTAGAAAGAAGGACCAGTTGGGTTACGAGTACGCTTCCTAACAGCCACTGGCCATTTGGTCCAGTGGTCATTCGCTTCTTTGGGATGCTGGGGGTCGTCCCCTTCTTTGCCACACTACGCGTCGACAAAAAAAAAAAAAAAAAAAAAAGGAGTACGCTTCCCAACAGGTGCAAATCCAGTTATTCCGCTTTGCGGAAACCTTCTAGAAAGATTTAAGATCGATTCGGTTGCTCAATTCTTCTAATTGGCTTAAAAATCCACTTAAAATTGAAAGATTGTTTCTGCAGTCTACGCTGCACTCAAACAAGTATCGTGTCCATAAACGGTATCATAGAGAGCAATATTTGAGATTCTTTAATGCGTATGGCACTAAAATATGTTCCATGCTCGTTAACATTTTGATTTCTTTGTAGGGGTTGTCAATTGTCATATTCCCGTAATAAAACCAAAGAAGAAAAAAATAAGATTTAGTAAGTGGCCTAATGTTGAGAGTTTTCTATGATCTCCTAAAATTTGGGAAACAAGACTGTTAGAAAAATGCTGCATAACATCTTTCCAGCATCAGCCCGTCGTCCACTAGCTTGCACTTGGTACTATAGTTGCAAACAAACTGTTGGAACAAATTGATTAGCATCTTATCAATCATCAGGGTTAATTTTCTTGCAACAAAATGTTGGAACCATTTTACAATTCAAAGGGCTGTTAATTTCCTTGGACATATGCCAAAAGATTACCAAAATTTGGCTGGTTAAGTATACATTCCGGGCATAGGGGCAACTGCAGCAGATTTTAGAATCTGAATGAAGGAGCAGGGCCCATGAACTTGACCAAATTCAAATGGTCGTTTAAGCCCGCATTCGGGAGAAGCCTTCATATTATGATTATGGGAAAAATTCAGAAACCTCGAATAATTTCACATAAATATCCTCTAATATTAGAAATTACACTGAATGAAATTTAGTAGTATTATGGGATTTACTCGTAGAACTAGTTGGCGATTGAAGAAGTAATATTAACTAGCATTGGTTGAGAATTTGCATTGTAATTGGAAAAGATAGCAATTTCTCGTATTGTTAGAAATGTACATAACATTCTGTTTTGATATTAGTTTACATACGGTCAATCTAAGAGTCATTTTTTTAAAAGCATCTCAAAGTAAGGTTATTAGAAGGCCGACGTTTATTCCTCTTGTAATAGTTTATTAATTTGTGTATGATCAAAGGCAGAAACTTTTATTAATGGGTTTGATCAATGAGTACCCTCGAATGACTTGTTAGAATAAGTTGAAATATTAATTTTTTTTGATAAAAAGCGAAGCTAGTTCAGAAAAAAAAAAAAAATTCCTTAATTGGCTTTCCTCGACACGGTCCCCTAAATTCTCATTACAAACGAATGGCTGAATACCCAAGCTTGTTTTCGGTTGGCTCAAATGTAAATCATCGATTGGTTCCACCAATTCTAGGATTCATCGCCATGCAAACGGAAATTAAGGTACTATTACCAGCATTAGAAGCGAGAAACAATGGATCCTCTCTCCCCCAACATCCTCCAAGTCTCCTTAGTCTTAGGAATTTCATCGCAAGAAACAGTTATATCATAATGGCATCAAAAATACCCATATCTGACTGATGTCTGCTTTGATTGAAATCTAATTTCGTTTCGAGCTCTCTGAATGATGTATACTGTAACCGTTGAAGCCCTCATCTTGAATTGATTGTAGAATGTATCCATCAATTAGCGATGAGCAAGCCAAAATCACAAGTATTTTAAAACACTATAAAATATTTTCAAAGTATTTGAAAGTTCTAGAGTTACAATGATCGAACCCCAATATTCATAACATGTGCTTCTCTAGTCGTCCACCAATCTACAAGGAAGACGAAAAAGGCAGGGTCCAAAAAGGAAAGAAGAGAATCACTCGTTTTCTCCACACAGAATATTTGTCTTCAAGTCATTTTAACATTATTAGAGGGTGATAGAGATACAGGGACCCATTTGGAGTAATTTTATATCATCATCATTACAGTCAGCTTTAGAATTATGCTACGTGATTAGCCATTTCTTTAACTAACAAGTGGAGAACGACAAAGGATCAAATAATAGCAGTATGCGGAGGGGGAGAGATTTAGATGAGGATGCAAGAATCGAGTCAATTTAGTGGTAATTCTTGAATTTGCATGGTTAACCGTCCAGCTTATGCCACGTATAATGGAAAGACTGTGTGGAGGAGTACTGAAAATCCACCAGGACCCCCCAAGAATAAACGAAGGGATAATTTGAGAAACCTCCCTGACATTTCTGATAATTTCACTGAGCTACCCTGAAATTTGAAAAATTACACTTCCCTCCCTTGATTTGATAGTTTTAGTAACATAACCTTAGAATAATATTTGACTCGATCAAATTTTTAAATGAATATCCAAAAATGCCCTCGTATAATGAGTTTTAATTTATTTTTCTATACAATTATAAGATTATCTAGTGTAATTATAAGAAAAAAGGTGCCAAAGTTTTCATATCCACACATACTATGTGGTACACAACTATAATAATAATTTTATCACTATGATAGGATACTTTTGATGGTATTTTATTGATTTATAAGATAGAAAAAAATATTAAAATAATTGATTTAGAGTTTATGAATTTTTGGAGTAGTAGAATTATCATAATTTATTAGTGGGTTTGGGTCATTTCTTTTTGATTTATTGTTAATTTTAATACTAAAAATAGAAACAAATATTAGGAAAAAATATTGGATTACATATAAAGTTAACTCATAAAAAAATCACTAATTCAACATTTGGTTACAATAGAAACTAGAGGTAATAGTGATAGTTCTACAGTTTTATTGGCGAAAAATAAAAATAAAAAGGAATAAGAATAAAAAATAATGAAAAAATAATTTATAAAGTCATTCTAAGTATAAGTATACCAAACAAGGAAATTTCATTAATATGTTTAAGGGTAATATTGTCATTTTAAATGATAAGGAAGGTATGTGCAATTTTAAAAATCTCAAGGGAGCTAAATAAAATTATCAAAAACCTCAGGGGAGGTTTCTGAAATTATCCCACAAAAGAAACATTCCACATTCCACATTCCACATTCCAGCACAGCGAGAGAATCAAGTGAACTGAAGATCTCTTTGGTCCTACTTACAGAAATACCTCGTGCCCCTATGCTAAGAATGACAATTCAGAGTCGGCCATCGCTGAATATGCAGCAAGGCAGGCCTTCAAATCATTTGACATGGAGGGCTCCAAGTCAAAATAATCAAGCTACCGCCAGAAAACAACGGATTTGAAAACTCAAGCCATTTGAAGATCAATTCTGAGGGCGGAATCCCGGAGCTGTCAACAACAACTCTATAAAACTAACTAACATGAGAATATGGAATCGGACACGAGGAGTTGGAAGTAAGGAGAATTGCGCATATTATTCAATCAATTTGCACGTAAGTTAACATCGGATCGAAATCTTCCATGCACCTTTTTGTTTTGTAAGGAAGGAAATTGCGCAAGACAAGTTTGAAGCAAGTGGAATGACAACCAACCGACTGATCGAGGATTTTTTTTCTTTCTTTTGAGTAGGAATGTCGAGAATCCACATGTCATGGGGGGATGACGTGATGGCTTGTGGAAAAAAAAATTTTGGCTGTAACTTATAACTTCAACCTTCTTTACCTATCCCAGTGGAAAAATTAGCACATGCCAATTATTCCTCTGGTGAAAAATGGAAGGAACGCAGTAATTATAGTTTTTCACTTTTTTGTGAAAAAGTCCAATCAAAAGTCCAAGGAGACATTGGAATGGGAAGCAGCATTGCAGAGGGTTGAGTTCGATTGGGTTCAAAGGATACCCGTAACGTACTCGGTAGTGTTCAACAAAACTACATTTTATATGGACTCACCTGTTGGTGAACGATCTGCTGGGCTTTTCTTGCATGTTGGGCCAGAAAACAGAAACAGATGTTGCACTTGACATCACCAATTTTCCGCTGCTTGATTGAATTGTATATTCTCAAATTGCTTAGAACAGACAAAAGTCTTGCTTGCTGGTAAAGAATGCCAAGAATGAGCTGCTCAAAAAAGGCCATAATAATGATAAGATATTTCACCGGAAAAAGACCAAAAAAGGGTCATGAAAAAGTTTGGAACCTCTTCTTCTGTTTCTCAAATGGTTGCATGTGCATATGTTTCCCTTTTAAAGATGGAGGCTCAATTGCTAAACAGTAGTAGTACTGAGGGGGCAGTATCAGAGAAAGTGGGGCAACAAAAATTACTAGATAAATTCATCTCTAAATCAACATGATTCCCGAAGAAGCTACGTGATCTATCTCTTGTCTGTATGAATAAAGCTGCCTGGTTTATACTGTCCAGACAAAACCATGCACGCAATCATGTTCTGCTTTCTTGAGAGCTTTTTGAGATGGTTGTCCGGTGACAACCCAACAGTATAGATTCCTCGCAAAGCCTGGAACTCCATTGAATACCCTACCGACTTAATTATTTGTATGATCGTTAGTGTTTGCCTTAAATTTGTATGGTTCTTTAAGCTCAGTGTAAATTAAAGAACCATGACCAGTGGAGGAAAGTTAATCAAATACGATGATGATAGTCTAGCTCAGATAAAATTATAACAACAATTTACATCCGAGGATCCTCGTCTGCAGTTTTTTTAATTACTTATATAACAAGAATTCGTGCTACTTAGGAAAATCATCGGCTTCCTACTAGTAATTCACATATCTATCTAACGTCAAACCAAATACTCCACTGGCTTTGAAAGATTTGGATATATGTTTGTGGTGGTTCGAAGTCTCCTTAGAGTTACATTCGAAGGTCCATTTCTAGATGTTCGTTCAAAAATTTGCTCAATCACATCATGTTACACAACTTTGAGTTGAGGTATAAACAAATTTGAAACCGGTCGAGGAAAAAAAAGAGAAGAAGATGTGAAATGTGAATTGTTTAA